ACATATCATTGAAGAGTGTGTACATATACACATGACCGATTCATAAAGATAGTCAAAGGTATACTATAATATATAGCAAATTATGATCTTTTCAAATGATATTGATTATTTATAAACATATTTCTGGTGATTATCACTACCACTGCAATCATCTAAGCCTAACATATAACTATATTCTGAACCATGATATGCCTAGCGACAATAAAACCCAATTATTAGTGCACAACCAACAGTATGTTCCTGAAAATGTACTGTAAAATGACTAATTTTCACTGGGTTTAAATTTCGCTGATTTATTATTTCAGGCATATTCAGTGGGTTTTAAATTCATGCTTTTATCATTGAGATAATGTGTTCTATGCTAAATGTTAGATAATCACTGGGTTTTAATTTAGCGCATTTTCTAGTCAGCGAAATAAGCAAAATTAAAACCCAGTGAATAATTAACCCCTTACAGTATTTGATACATTTGTCATATGACCTTTGACCTCCAGTGACCTTTGCCTTTGACCTATGAACAAAACAGGACCTAAAAGACCATTGCAATAGCTTTAAAACGGTGTCTAGGTTTTTAAAATAGGGTAACTAGAAGAAAATATATGGGGTTTTATGTTTCCCCCACGCCATTTTATAATACCGCTAGCATCTGTTTTGGCAGTTCTATGTTACCAAATTCAAACCTCAATTTCTCAGCTCGCCAGCATTTCCCAAGATGTCCTCAGGCTGTTTCATACTCTAGACATATTGTCCTTCAAATTTATGCATGAGGACAAATGTGGCACTTTGGGTGCCACCAACTCCCAAAATAATGACCTTTTTGGGCCCTTGCTGCAGCACTATATTGTATCTTGCAAGGAATAATATAATATGATTTATTATGAAATATTTTAGCAGCAAACATAGAAGTGTTTGTTGGATTAAAAGCTTACGCATGCGTGTTTTCAGCAATTATAATACAACCACACACTGCAGTACCGGTATATTCAATCCAAATAAACCCTTTTCTGGTGTTTACAATTTCGAAGATCAATGGTTGACTAGATACTGTAGGACAAAACTGTGAATCTGGGAATTTATACTCATTGTAAGAGTTGTAATGTAGCGTATTAGTAATACTGACATTGATGAAAAAATATAAATTGGGTTACATTACAATCAAGTACGGGGCGTTGTGGAAATACAAACAGCTCAACACAGAAGTAATACTGTACCTAAACTATGGTGGGCAGTCGAACTTAAAGAATAAAAACGGCACATATATCAGGGGGGAAATCTTCTCCCTCTGGATTCTCCACACTTGTCAGGGGGGAATCTCGTCTCGTCTCTCTATCTCGTCCCCTTGAGGTACGGGATCGGGAAAGTCACTTATACTTTACAGTCAAATAAGGCACACACAACGAAATACGTTTCAGCTCTCGTCTTAGTCGGTCTTTCGAGCACTCTATAAGACACGGCGCCCTGGGGAAAAATCCCCAAGACTCTCTTAGACTGCGTCAATACTCGCCCCAAGGCTCTCCAGGACTGGACCACGACTCTCCAGGACTGCACTCTCTCTACTGCGTCTATCGTGCTGTGTTCCCCAAGACCAACTCAAACTCTCTTTATTCATTTTCAAAACTCTAACCAATTACAAAGCAGTAAAAAGACTCTAGGGCGTAACCTTCAATCATAAAGCCAATCACACTAAGTACTGAATACGTCATATCTTTTGATTAATCGTTCACTACATTAATAACTATGGATACCAACTGTCAGAATCGCGACGGTTATCTGGTAATTAGTTCCAAATCACTGAGCCAAGTTCCGTCCAAAACTTCAAATAGGCCTAAACGATGACAGATATAACACAGCAATTCGCTAATAATCAACTAATTAAGTCGACCAACAGATACGCAAAAACAAATTCATGACACATACACATTGGGAGGCCACATGTAGCCTGACATGTAGGCGTGAGTAGGCCCTCGCCGGCTGAACGGCAGACCTCACTAACGTTAGGTTTAGAGCACCGCGGAGGACGCAACGCACGCGACCTCGTCAGGTGGTGTTAAGGTAGAAGCCTTCTCATGATTTCAAATATCCCGAATTTATTAATTTTATAATAAATTGTACTTCTGGGTAATACATAAGAATATTTACTTAAAAAAAGTTGGGGGTCACCAGGTTAATTTTCGAGAAAATCATGGTTGTATTTTAGTGCGGCCATATTGGCAGTATTATAGTGCTTTTACCATAGGTTCTTTTGGCAGAGATATTATGCCATATCTCAAATTGTAGACTGGTGACATGGCTGGTGAAAAATAATATATTGTTACTGATGGGATCCTTATTGTTTTCCTGATTTTTTTCAAAAATCTGGGTTTTAAAAAGTGTCGAAAAATGCAATGTTTAACATTGCGCTCTATGGAATTGTTCTAAAAATAGTTATTTTTGAAAAATATTAGGACAAGTTTTTTTTTTAAATAGGTCATTGTAACACACAAAATAATGTTATTTTATGGTGTAATGGGACTGTCACAATAGCTCCATAATTTTACACAATAAACCAATGGACATTTTCATGCGATTTATGACCAACTTTCTCAAAAATGATGAGTAGGCTTCTACCTTAAGCTTATCTTATTTCTGTGTATTCTGGTCTGTAATTACTTAGCTGTAACTAGTAGCAGTAACTTTTCTTGATTGATGGGAAAACATACAACTGTGTGAGCACTTTTCGTCGTATCCGCTTAACACAAGGTGAATAATACTATTTTGATACAAATTCCATATTTTTTTTCTATTTTCTCGTTCTCAGACAGATATGTACAAAGTTAACAGTGGTCAAATGTGCGAATTCAAACGTCTCGTGTTTTTACAGAGACAAATGTTCTGTATTTTTTAGAGTATGATTTATATTCAATCGATAACGTACAGCAACCCCGTGATTGTTCAACGATCACACTGTTTTACCATTTTTGTTTTTATGATGAAGATAATATGTCATATCACAAATTTATAGTGGTGACATGGGGCGAATACATTAAATAATTTGACTTGTGGGGTAATTTTTGTTATCCGGAACTATTTCAAAAATCTGGGCGGCAGTTTGTGTTCTTTGTAATTATTTTAATAATATTCTATCAAAATGTGACATTGTAACACACAATTGAATGACGTTTTCAAGTTACCGTTTTCAAGTCCCAGTTTTACTCTTAAATTCACAATTTTACGCATTTACTATAAGGCATCAGGATTTAAAAAGTCGTATTTCACCCCAATATTTCATACTGGGGATTGCGCGTTTAATTTAAACTACGCCACCATGCGTCGCCCATTGGAGACTTTTCGGGGTAAAAGGTTGTGGACAACATGGCGGCGACCATGGAAGGTAAGTTTTCTGTTACACTGTACTGCAGTGTTGTGCAACACTTCGTATGTGCAAATGACTTTATCACCACTATCGAAAGCTTTGTTGTATCTGCCAGTAAATGTGTTAAACGTGATAAATGATATCTGTTCAATGTTAAATATTGGTTTCTCTTCACCATGTTGTTATTACACTTACAGGCGCTCGGAACGTTTCCTGGATAATAAAAATGACCTAAAGTGGGATCGGCATATAGTCATCGCCGGTACATTCCCCTACAACTCATAT